ATGTCAGACATGTAAAGCAAGATCTGATAGTTTCATCATTTCAAGAAAAGATTCTGTGGTGACAGAAATAAATCATGCAAAGAAAATTATTTAAATAGCCATGTTAGAGACCAACTGGAAACACAGAATTGAACTGTACGTACACAACTTAGTGTAAAAGTTGTCTCAAAGCCTCAAATCAATTCCACTGAATATCTTATAAAGATGGTTTTGAAATGGTGCAAAAAGTTAAGAACAGTCAAGACTAAACATTTTTTTTCATTTTACATTTATTGTACGTGCAAAGAGCTTTACCTTACATTAGGTAAGAGACAAAACTTTTGGATTAAAGCTAAGGAAAGTGGATCTAAGTAGCACAGTGAAAGCATGGACTAACATTTTTTTTTGAAACAGACCTGTTAAAGATAGAACTAAAAAGAGGTCAATTAATTCAAATTGTACATCTGCATTCAGGAACCTTTGTTTTCTTAACCAGGTTATGTTTTGAAGAAACTCATAATAATGGCCTACAAAGTAAGGCATAAATCACAATTTGTAAGTCACAGAATTTGCACCAAGTTGCCAGGTAAAAATCAAAGCAATCACGTCACATGTTCATATCGCACACACACTCTCATCCAAGAATGAATATGACATTTTCTACTTTCTAAAGATTTCGAACACCTACAGTTAGCAAGGAATGTCTGCTCTGAACTCAGATGTGTCTTTACGGAGGAAATTGTGCTCTCTTGAGAAATGACATTCCCTTGAGATCAGTTGGGTGAATTTCTAAGCATATCAGATGGAAAAACTCTGCCTTGGAAGTGAAATATTACAGTATTTGTGTACAGTGGTTTTGATTTCCTTGCCCTCCCCCACCCCGGCATCAGTGTGAGAATAGCGCCCCCGGGTGTGCAAGATGACCAAGGGAAACATGGGCCAAATTGGAAGAATCCTAAAGTTTCAAAGAAGTTCCCAGAGGTCATTTGTGAAATGGGCAGTTACAGCTTTGCTTCTTCTCACTGTGTCTTTCCTGCAGTAATAGATTAGCCCTGTGCTCTGGTTTCGGGCTTTTCATTAGCAGATAAAGCAGATGACAACAACAGCAGCAACAACAACAGAGTTGGAAGGGACCTTGTAGGTCATCTAGTCCAGCCCCCTGATAAGGCAGGAAATCCTACACGATTCCAGACAAATTTGTCTTTGTCTGAGTAGAAAATGCTAATTGAACTTGGATGTATATGGGAAACCCATTCCAGGCCTTTCTTTGGAGCCTGTCTTGCCCAGTGTTTCCAGATTATATGCTTATATGTTTACTGCTAGAGGAGTTATATGATTTTCAACATATTTAAACTTTCAAGTGTGAGAGTGTTTGTGTGTGTGTGTGTGTGTAGGGAGGGGGGAGGGAGGGAAGGAAAGCAAGAGACAGATATACAGAAAAAATATATAGACACAAACAATAAGATAGACATACAAAGGCACACACACACATACACACACACAAAGACAGAAGGAAGAAGATCTGAGTCTCAAGAAAGAAAAAGTGCAAATCCAATAAAGGAATGAAGAGTTCTAATTAACGAAGTCAATTTTCTATTTCTAAAGATGTTTTGAGAGCAGAACATGTCAGTACTTTGCCATTGCTGTCTTACAGGAGGTTTTTTTTCCCCTGTATAATTACTCAGCTTATTTCCCTTACTGAGATTTTTTGGTTTCCCGCCTCCAGTTGGAAAACAGCTTCCACACTACAGATACCAAGGTCAGCTCTTTCTTCCTCCTGGCAATCAAGCACCTTCCTCAGGCTCCCCTCATTGAAAAATGCAGCCCTATAATGTGGCTGAATGGACTTGCAGAGCTCCTCTGAGGAATGGTAGGTTTTTGCCTAGCTTCAGATTCACTTCCTCTCACTGTGTCTCTCGCACAATAATAGACTGCCATGTCTTCAGCTTTGAGGCTGTCCATTTGCAGATACATCTGGCTTTTGGCATTGTCTCTGGAGATGGTGAAGCGCCCCTTCACTTTGTCTGAGTAGCGAATAGTACCAGAATCGGTGCTTATGAATGCCACCCATTCCAGGCCTTTTCCTGGAGCCTGTCTCACCCAGTCCATGTGATAGCTGCTGAAGGTGAATCCAGAGGCTTGGCAGGAGAGACGGAGGGACCCTCCAGGGCTTCTCACATCCCCTCCAGACTCCACCAACTGAACGTCAGATAGAACACCTAAAATAAAAGGAGTTTCAGTGAGCTCTCCTGTATACAAGAATTATCAGGAAAAGTATCTGAATGGTTAGGAAAGAATTACCTCTGAGCACTGCTAGAAAGGACACCAAATTTAGCCACAGGAACATTTTTGCTCCCTCTAATGAACGGAGCGTAATTGTTAGGAAAGGATGCTAGAAAATACAAAAACTTTGTGTTGGTGGGTGTTTCCTGAAAAGGGAAACCATGAGCTTTAAAGAGGAAATTGTGCCTCGATTTACATATTGCTTGGCATAAAAGAACGCCTCAGGGCATTGAGTGAATACATTTCTTAAACTTGTGATGTTCATAAAAAAATAAGCCATGTCCTCTGGTTTCAAGTTATTCCTTGGCTAATTGAATTGCGTTTTGGTGAAGCATCTCTTCCATTTATTCATGTAGTAAATAATGTAAGAACCTTGATTTATGCCATCTATTGCAGCAATTTTCCAAGTGCCTCTCTCATTCATTTCATGCAATGGATGAGAAAGCTAATCTAGAGGCCAGGCAGGAGAGATGGAGGGACTCTCCAAGCCTTCTGAAAGGCCCTTTGATAATAATAATAATAATGAAGTTGGAAGGGACCTTGGAGGTCATCAAATCCAACCCCCTGCTCAGGCAGGTAACCCTATACCATTTCGGACAAATGGCTGTCCAGTCTCTTCTTAAAAACTTCCAGTGTTGGAGCATTCACCGCTTCTGGAGGCAGGTTGTTCCACTGGCTAATTGTTCTAACTGTCAGGAAGTTTCTCCTTAGTTCTAGGTTGCTTCTCTCTTTGGTTAGTTTCCATCCATTGCTTCTTGTCCTGCCTTCAGGCCCTTTGGAAAATAGCTTGACTCCCTCTTCTTTGTGGCAGCCCCTGAGATATTGGAACACTGCTATCATGTCCCCCCTCATCCTTCTCTTCGTTAAACTAGACATACCCAATTCCAGCAACCATTCCTTATATGTTTTAGCCTCCAGTCCCCCAATCACCTTTGTTGCTCCTCTCCGCACTCTTTCCAGAGTCTTTGGACCCCACCAAGTGGACCTCTGGCTGAACCCCCTAGAAAGAAAGAAGTAAGTCAGAAAGAAAGGTGCTTGAGAGAAACCTCTTGTATACAAGAAGAATAAATGGAAGGAAACTCTTCAGACAGAGAAGAATTATCACTGAGGACTGCTAGTAAGGAGATCCAAAAAAGTTTAGACTCTTTTTCTTCCTCTAATGAATCAAGGGGAATTGATAGGAAAGGATTGTGGAATGTGTCCTAACTTTGTGTTGTCATGTGTAGAGTGAAAATGAAAACCATGGGGCTCCTTCAAAGAGGAAATTATGTCTTGATTTAAATATCTGGCATCAAAAAGCCATCTCATTGCATTTGCTTAGATATACATTTCTTTGCACATAGATTTCAAATGAGGTTCAGTCCTAGGTACATCTGAGTTAAAAAAAAAAATGTGCCACAACTGTTCCTTGATCCAGAAGAACAATGTAGAACAAGCCATAAGGCACAATTTGAAACCTACATCCAAGTGTCAAAGTTGTCTCAAAGTCTCAAATCAGTTTTGATAAGTATCTTATAAAGGTGATTTTGAAAACAAAATCCAAAAAGTTAAAAATAGTCAAGACTAAGTTTTTTTTTTATTTTAATTTTTTAATTTAATTTTATTTTTTTCATTTAAAATGCATTAAGTAAGAGACCGTCTTTTGGGTTACGGCTAAGGAAAGTGGTTCTAAGCAACACAGAGAAATCATGTACTAATAATTTTTTAAATAGACATCGTAAAAGATGGAACTTAAAAAAGTGGTTCAAATGGTGCGTCTGAGTTCAGGAACATTTGTATTCTTAATCAAGTTATGTTTTGAAGAAACCCATATTAACTCTGTACAAAGTAAAGCATGAAATGCTAGTTCTGGTTTGGCTTCCTCTCATTGTGTATCCAGTGCAGCAATAGACGGCTGTGTCTTCTGGTTTTAGGTTGTCCATTTGCAGATAAAGCTGGCTTTTGACATTGTCCCTGGAGATGGCAAAGCGTCCCTACACTTTGAGTAGTAAATGCTAGATGTAGGCATGCTTGCAACCCATATCAGTCCTTTCCCAGGAGCCTGTGTCACCCAGTTCATCCAGTGGTTTCTCAAGGTAAATCCAGAGCCTTGGCTAATGTAGTTTTTAGTTTCTAACTTGGCAATAAATGAATGAAAAAATAATATCCTGTAGAAAAGAAATGAACAGTGGCATATTGTCAATATTATATTATTGCTGTATAAGCTGCCGAGAGTCAATCTCAATGGCGAGATGGGAAGTATATAAATAAAAATAAGATAAAATAATAAAATAAATAAACATTGAGAGAAAGAAAGGGGATTGAACTGGAAAATAATATGTGAAGGAAGCATTCGATCTGGCCTCAATATTTCTTTGCTTTATCACAAGTCCACCAGAGATGATAAAAAGTACCTTATTTATAATTGCATTTCCAACAAACATTTGAGAAACCTTCTTTTTCTGACTGACAGTTTGTTGGACATTAAGTACCAGCCATTTGTCCGAAATGGTATAGGGTTTCCTGCCTGAGCAGGGGGTTGGACTAGATGACCTTCAAGGTCCCTTCCAACTTTACTATTATTATTATTATTATTATATATCATCTATATTGCCATGAAATTTTCAACACATTTCCTAACCTACAGCTAAACAGGTTCCCTACTGCTCATTCCAAGATCAATTCTAGAATAAGCTATGATGGAAGTTTATCTGTTGCTTTTCAGAGATGATCCACAAATTCAACCTTCTGTGACTAAATCAAGTTGGAAAGTTGCTCAGAGGAAGAGAAAGTTTTTGCCTGGTGTCAGATTCGCTTCCTCTCATTGTGTCTGCCATACAATGATAGACTGCTGTGTCCTCTGATTTCACGCTGTTCATTTGCAGATACAGCTGGCTTTTGGCATTGTCTCTGGAGATGGTGAAGCGTCCCTTCACTTTGTCAGAGTAGAAAATGTTAGATGAACTTGGATTTATATGAGAAACCCATTCCAGGCCTTTCCCTGGAGCCTGTCTCATCCAGTACATCCAGGAGCTACTGAAGGTGAATCCAGAAGCTTGGCAGGAGATACGAATGGACTCTCCAGGTCTTCTCAAGTCCCCTCCAGACTCCACCAACTGTACTTGAGATTGGGCTCCTAAAAAGAAAGATGTTTCAATGAGAACTCATAAATACAATAACCACAGATGAAAGAAAAGTATGTGTAGAGGGAAACATTACCTCCAAGGCATGCAAGTAAGAACACCAAGTTTAGCCAAAGGGTCATTTTGGCTCCCTCTGATGAACGGAGGGGGATTGATAGGAGAGGATTTGGGAAAGTGCACAAAATTTGTGTCGGTGGTATAGCCTTAAAAGTAAAACCAACTGACACTCTTAAAGGGGAAATTGTGCCTCGATTTACATATTGGTTGAGATAAAAGAGCTCTTCAGTTGCATTTATCTCATAGTTTTCCTTGCACACTCCCTACAGAGGTGATCTTTAGATAACTTTACAGCCTTGCAAAATCTGAACGCATTCTTTACACTAAAACAATTAAAACAAAGTCTTGAAAAACTTCACCACTTCTCAGAATTGATTCAGCATTACAAATGGTGAACATGCACTAAATTTTTTTGAGAAAGACACTTTAGACATAGAGTACGAAGAGAATAGCACATTTGAGTTTAACGAAAATATAATAATAATAATAATAATAATAATAATAATAATAATAATAATAATAATAATAATAATAATAATAATAATAATAATAGTAAAGTTGGAAGGGACCTTGGAGGTCATCTAGTCCAACCCCCTGCTCAGGCAGGAAACCCTATACCATTTCGGACAAATGGCTGTCCAGTCTCTTTTTAAAAACTTCCAGTGTTGGAGCATTCACCGCTTCTGGAGGCAGGTTGTTCCACTGGTTAATTGTTCTAACTGTCAGGAAGTTTCTCCTTAGTTCTAGGTTGCTTCTCTCCTTAGTTAGTTTCCACCCGTTGCTTCTTGTCCTGCCTTCAGGCGCTTTGGAAAATAGCTTGACTCCCTCTTCTTTGTGGCAGCCCCTGAGATATTGGAACACTGCTATCATGTCCCCCTCCCCTTTAATATGGTGTTTTGAAGAAACCAAAAGACTTAAATGCAGACCAATGCTTAAATGCTTTTCATTCAACAATTTCTAAGTCATAATGGAATGAAAGGGGGGGGGATCACAGTGAGAAAAGAAATAGATTCAGCCTGTGGGGTGTTCTTTGCTTATTAGATTTGATTTTAACTCAGCAGTTGTATTTATTTTATATATTGCTTGTTCTTGTTTGTTTGTTTTTGTCTTTTTATCAGTTCTTAGTTTCTGTGACTTGATTCGCCATAATGGGCAGCTATACAAATTGAGATAATAATGGCAACAGTAATACTAATATCATGGCTAATAAAAATTGCCAGCAAATGCACTCTGTCTGTAGACTGAGTTATATGAATAAATCACTTTGTGTTCACCAATGAATTCAGTTTACTTTATATTTAACACAGCACAAGTTCAATCAACTCGGATGTGGATTCTTAGTCAGGAATTATACATAAAACACATACACAGAGACAGAAAACTAACACACACTAATAAAGAAAGAGAAGAAACAGGGAAGGGGAAGGGAGAGGGAGAGGGAGAGGGAGAGGAGAGGAGAGGAAAGGGAAGGGAAGGGAAGGGAAGGAAAGAAGGAAAGAAGGAAAGAAGGAAAGGAAAGGAAAGGAAAGAAAAGAAAAGGAAAGGAAAACAGGTGAAATGAAGGCAGAATAAAGAAAAGAAAAGAAAAGAAAAGAAAAGAAAAGAAAAGAAAAGAAAAGAAAGAAAGAAAGAAAGAAAGATTTTCCATTTTTCCTAATAATTAAACCCCCAAATTATGAGATTATTTTTTTTACTTTCATACAAAAAGTGTATATACTATTTCCAGTCACCCTGAATATACATTTTCTTTCTGATATAAAATAAATAAATGTAGCCATCTCCACAAATTCCTTTCTCTTTACCAACCATTCCTCCATTGTGGATGGTGCTGAACCTTTCCATTTTTGAGCATATGATAGACTCTCTGCAGTTGTCATATATAAAACAGTCCTGAGGACCCACCTTGTCCCAATGGGGCTAGCCTGCCACATTCGCTCCAGCCAAGGGGCCTGCTGCACACCCTCTCAGCCAAGGAATGTCAGATAATGGGGTCGTGCAGAAGAGCCTTTTCCGCTGTGGCCCTGGTCTGTGGAACATTCTGCCACCAGAAGTGAGAACGTCCCTCACCCTTTTGGCCTTGCAGAAAGGTATAAATTAAAGAATGGTTTTGCCAGATGGCTGCAGGTCATGAGAGGACTGCTCGCTCCTGGAAGTGGTTGTCAGGGTAACAAGAAGCTCTCATTCACCTGAGTCTGTCTGTCTCCTTGGTTCTAGATTTAATATAGTCTTATAATTATAATTGCAATTAAAGTTATATTTAACTTTTTATCTATCTAGCCATGGTGGCACAATGGTTAGAATGCAATATTGCAGGCTAGCTCTGCCTGCTGCCAGCAGTTCAATTCTCATCAGCTCAAGGTTGACTCAGCCTTCCATCTTGTCAAAGTTGGTAAAATGGGGGCCCAGATTGTTGGAGGCAAATTACTGACTCTATAAACTGCTTAGAGAGGTCTGTAAAGCGATATGAAGTGGTGCATAAGTCTAAATGCTATTGCTATTTATCTTTTTACTGTTTGAAAGCAGAATGAATAAATGAATGAATGAATGAATGGTTCCCTAGATTTTCTTCTAAGTGCCTGTCTATTAGTCTTACTTCTGAATCTCTGGGTGAATTTGTATCCATAACCTTTTTAGCTATTGTGTATGTCTACCCTACATTAGAAAATGTTTCTTCATGTTATTCATATTTCCAGGAAAATATTGAAATACATTTACACATTCTAGGTCAGACATGTCAAACACAAGGCCCGGGGGCCGGATGCGGCCCGCAAAGTGGTTTCATGTGACCTGTGAAGCCATCCTGGAAACAATGAGGGAACGGCCCCCTCTGTCTTGGCCCTGGCCAAGGCCAGCTGGGAGCCAATGTACAATTTTGTGGTGGCCATCTATGCTGAAACACATTCAGTCTTAGCTCCACAAGGCTGTCTCGAAACAGCGAGGAACCAGGAGAACCTTGAGCAGCAGCCTTGAGGAAGTGGGGCTGGGCTTGGTGCCGCGGGTGCTCAAGGGCCAGGCTGGGCATTTGACCTCTGCTGCCCAGGACTCTGGGCAGCCCACAACACCAACACCCCCCCATGGCCTAAGAGGAACAGTGAGGCTCCTCCAGTGGACCCTGCCTTGGCACTTGCCCCGGTCCCACTCCCTTCTGCCAGAGACCCTCAGATCTGTCCCACTCCTGCCCAGGTCCCCACAGGCACCTTTGACGCGAACGATGTAGTGTTAGCCACACCACCCAGTAGGCCACACCCACTCCATCCACACCCACCCAGTAGGCCGCAACCACCCTGGCCACACCCACCCAGCCCCCTGAGGGCAACCACAATGCTGATGTGTGCCTCAATGAAATTGAGTTTGACACCCCTGTTCTAGGTCATTTCTCTGATGAAAAACACAAATGATACATGTTATTGAAAAAAAAAATCCCAGATTCAGGCTAAGAGGTGAAATTTTCATGAGACTGTTTTCAATGAACTATTACGGAAAAAACATAAAAATTATTGTGCCTGTAGAATCAGAAAATATCTAATGAGACTTATTCTATTCCCTACCCCACCCCCCACTGGGTGCAGAGGCCACGGGGGTTTCATGTGACAACATTGCCCTCCAGTGTCCAAAATGAAGAGGGGAGGCATCTTCCTAATTCTCCAAGGAGATTCTTTAGGTCCAGATGTTTCCTCAATAGTTGCATAGCAGTTTGGATATTTAGAAAGATGATCATAAAGTTTCATTTCCTGCCTTCTGCCATGATACTAAAGGGCTACATTTAATTCAAGGTTGTTATTGTTATTTTTTTTCCCTGAAGGCACAGCACTTTGTAAACAGGGAAGATGAAACCAGAATATTCAAACCATCTTCATTACATTTTACATTTTTTTCCAGAAAGCTCTCTAACTAGCACCTAGAATAAAAGAATCTTAAAGTTCTCACTAGACAGTTATCGATCATCATTGAGTTATCATGATATGGGACAGAAGGGAAGGGAAGGAGAGAGGAGGGGAGGGGAAGGCAGGGCAGGGCAGGGCAGAGGAGAGGAGAGGAGAGGAGAGGAGAGGGAGGGGTGGGGAGGTGAAGAGAGGAGAGGGGAGGGGAGAGGAGGAGAGGCAGAGGGGAAGGAGAGGGGAGGGGAGGAGATTTATTTTTCAACTGCCCCATTTCTTGGTTTCATACCACCCTAAATTATCAGGATTTTTTAATTATTATTTAATTATTATTATTACATGGCTACATTTCTAACTGATACGGGAGATGCAACGTTGTGTCAAAATTTCAAAGCAATCGATGAAGAACTTTCAGAGATTTAAGATTTTGAACAAACGAACATTTACATTTTTATTTATAGATAGATAGATAGATAGATAGATAGATAGATAGATAGATAGATAGATAGATAGATAGATAGATAGATAGATAGATAGATAAATTTCTATAGCCTTTATACTATTGATTTTAATCTTCACTTATGTGTTTGACTTATGCAGCTGCCCATCTCACTTTTACATGACTGAATAAAAGAATAAAGAATGCTAATTAAGGAATACATTTTTGTATGTCTAAAGATTTTTTGAGAGCAGAACCTTTTCCCATTGCTGTCACTTAGGTCTCTCTCTCTCTCTCTCTCTCTCTCTCTCCCTCTCTCTCTCTCTCTCTCTCTCTCCTCACTTTATTTTCTTTTATCAGATTTTCTCATCTCCCCCACCACTACCACCACCACACTTCAATTGGAAAACAGCACTCACAGAGCTGATATTATCAGCTCTTTCCTGCCTTGGAAATCAGGCATATTTTCTCTCATAGGAAAATGTAGCTCTATTCTGAGGCTGAAAAGATTTGCAGAACTGCTGTGAAGAATGGCTGGTTTTTGCCAAGCTTCAGATTCACTTCCTCTCACTGTGTGTCTCGTACAGTAATAGACTGCCGTGTCTTCAGCTGTGAGGCTGTTCATTTGCAGATACAGCTGGCTTTTGGCATTGTCTCTGGAGATGGTGAAGCGGCCCTTCACTGTGTCTAAATAGTGAATACTACTGCTGTCAGAGCGGATGTATGCCACCCATTCCAGTCCTTTTCCTGGAGCCTGTCTCACCCAATCCATGGAATAGCTGCTAAAGGTGTAGCCAGATCCTTGGCAGGAGAGACGGAGGGACTGCCCAGGTCTTCTCACGTCCCCTCCAGATTCCACCAATTGGACCTCAGATTTGATACCTAAAATGAAGGAAAGTTTCAGTGAGCTTTCCTGAATACAAGAATTAAAGTGGGAAAAAGTTGAATAGGGAGAAAACAATTACCTTTGAGGACCGCTAGTAAGGACACCAAATTTAACCACAGGATCATTTTTGTGTTTTGCTCTCTTCACTGAATGGAGGGAATTGATAGGAAAGGATCCGGGAAAGTGCTCAAAGTGGTGGGTGTAACCTGAAAAGGCATATATCATGGGGCTATTTTAAAAGGGAAAATGTGTCCTGATTTGCATATTGCTTGGAATAAAAGAGCCTCTTACTGCATTCATGTAAAGACATAATTGCTTACACCTTACAAATGTGATTTTGAGGGGTCCTTGGTGCTCTCTATTCTTTTTTTTTTTTTTTTTTTGCAGAGGTTGCATTACAATGAAATATCTGCAGGTTCAGAGAGCACCAAGGAACCCCTCATTTTTACCCTGAGCTACAAATACTTCCCATTATTGGTAACATGATTGTTTTATTTCCGAGTTAATAGGACAGGTTTACTTTGCAGTAAGTAAGACAAAGACTTGAAAAAATATCAGCACTTCTGGGAAACAATTCAAGGTAACAGAGAATATACTTGCTTTAAAATCTTGTTAATGGAAACATGTCAATTGACAAAATATAAAAAGGTTAGCAAATCTGAGTTAGGAAGTTTGCTACTTGATTTCTTCCTTAACTTTTTTGTTTGTTTGTTTGTTTGTTGATTTCATTTCTGGATAGTAGCTAATATGCTAAACGGTCACTAAGCCTTGAAGAATGATTTGTCATCCACAGTATTTGGGTCCACCCAAGTACAAAGTCAAACCCAAGTGATATTATGAACATTCTCTCAGTTCAAAGAGAATGATAAAAAATTAACTTTGTCTTATCCAAAATATTTGCTTATTTGTTATTTGTTTTAAAATCAGACATGGCTTCCCAGTGAGATTTTTTTTGTCTTTCAAAAAGTTAAATTCCTTTGAGATTCACTGAGGCAACTTCTAAGCAAATAACAGAACATAGAACATTGAATAATAGAATTGGTAGGGATCTCGTTAGTCTTCTAGTCCAACTCCCTCCTCAAGCAGGAGACCCTATATCATTTTAGACAAATGTTGTCCAGTCTCTTTTTTAAAGTATCCAGTGATGAAACACCCACAACTTCTGAAGGCAAGCTATTCCATTGGCTGATTGCTCTCCTTGTTAGGAAATGCCTCCTTAATTATAGGTTGCTTCTCTCCTTGGTTAGTTTCCATCCATTGTTTCTTCTCTTGCCTTTTGATGCTTTGGAAAATAGTTTGACCTGTTCTTCTCTGTAGGAGTGCCTCAAATATTGGACGGAAAGAGAGAAGACCCTCATTTTCCAGATTCTATCTCCTTCCTTGGTTTCATACCACACCAAAGAATTAGGTGTTTTAGGGCATCCTTATTTTATTACATGACTACATTTCTACTGATAGAGTAGCATATGATACAGATCAGTTCTTCCTTGGAACAATGCTATCATGTCTCCTCTAGTCAGTGGTGGGATTCAAATATGTGAACAACTGGTTCTCTGTGTGGATGCTGCTTCCAGAAGTCCATTCTGGGCCTGGGCAACAAAAAAAATAGCTAACGGGTTCTGCTGAAGTGATGCGAACCGGCTGAATCCCACCACTGCCTCTAGTCCTTTTTTTCATTACACTAGACATACCCAATTCCTATAATCATTCTTCATATGTTTTAGCCTCCTGCCCTCTAATCAGATATAATCAGCCGTAGAAATGAGGCCACTTTTCTGAAGATCTGAATTCTTCCTTCATGGTGAATATGATTGAGTATACACAATGCTAATCCTGGTGTGAGTGATGTGGAAGAGAGGGGGCTGAGAACAGAAGCTGATTACAAATGAAGGATCTCCTAGACCAGGGTGTCAAACTGCTGGCCCACGGGCCAGACGCGTCATCCGGAAGCCATGCCCACCCCATTGCTGGCAATGGCAAAACCGTCCCGATATGTTGTGTGACGTCACATGATGTCACAAGTTTGACATGTCTGTCCTAGACACTTGCACATTTCTGTAAATGTATATTCCACTCATGTTTGTGAGAATGCACAAAACCTATAATTTCTTAATAGCTAAATATATGATAAACTGATTTACAACAGAGAAAATAACAGAAGGAATTGTGCATGTTCATTTTTTTAATCTTGAAACATGAATAGACAATCATCCATCAAAATTATTTAATATCTACATTAGAGAAAGAAGAGGATGGGTTATTTATTTGTTTGTTTGTTTAAAAGACTGTTTCTTTAAAAAAAAAAAAGTGCTTGTGTCCCTATGTGAATGCTTTTTTTATCATCTGGTGATAAAACCAGTTTTCATGTGATGTAGATTAAGCACCAGAGGCAGGAAAAGAAGCAATGGATGGAAACTAATCAAGGAGAGAACCAAACTAGAACTAAGGAGAAACTAAGGAGAGTTAGAACAATTAATCAATGGAAAAGCTTCCCTCCAGAAGTTGTGGGTGCTCTATCAATGGAGTTTTTTAAGAAGAGACTGGACAGCCATTTGTCTGAAATGGTATAGGGTTTCCTGCTTGAGCAGTGGGTTGGGCTAGAAGATCTTCAAGGTCCCTTCCAACTCTGTTAGACACAGAGCAAAATCTACAGCTCTACAAGATGAGACAATAGGATTTATTTCATTCTTTTTTTTCTTTTAATTTCCAGAAGTTGCGGGACTTCAATGTAGCAAAATTACTGTGGAGGATATCATGTCAACAAATGTAAGAAATGATTCCATATTTCTTCCTCTCTAGGAAAATAAACAGTGTTGTTTACACTTCTCATTTTATTCTAATCTACAGCCATGGAAAATTCCTTCCACAGCAACTACAGAGAAGGTTCCATGCAGTTTATTTCAAGATTAGCTCAGTGAACTCATTCCAAGATCCCACTTACTACGATACAGATTTATAAGGTCCTTCTTTGTTCTCATGTGCAAATTAAAACTTCTATGACTGAAACAAATTGCAACGCTGCTCAGAGACAGAGAAAGTTCTTGACGGGCTTCAGATTCACTTCCTCTCACTGTGTCTCTCACACAGTAATAGACGGCTGTGTCCTCTGGTTTCAGATTGCTCATCTGCAAATAAAGCTGGCTGCTGGAATCATCTCTGGAGATGGTGAAGCGTCCTTTGACTTGGTCTGAGTAGCGAATTGGAGATGAGGATCTACCAATATCTGCAACCCATTCCAGTCCTTTTCCTGGATACTGTCTCGCCCAGCCCATGTAATAGCTGCTGAAGGTGAATCCAGAAGCTTGGCAGGAGAGACGGAGGGACTCTCCAGGCCTTCTTACATTCCCCCCAGACTCCACCAACTGGACCTGAGATCTGACACCTAAAAAGAAAGATGTTGCAGTGACATCTCTTATATACAAGAACAGCAAATACTACAGAGAGGGCTGTAACAGAAACATTACCTCCAAGGGCTGCTAGTAAACACATAAATTTTATCCAGAGAATCATGTTTGTTCCCTTGGATGAATGGAAGACAATTGATAGGAGATGACTTGGCAAAGTGCACAAACTTTGTGGTGAGGTGTGTGTAGCCTGAAAAGGAAAGCCAACTGTCTCCTTTAAAGGGGAAACTGTCCCTCAATTTACATATTGGTTGACATAAAAGATCTCCCTAGTGCAGTCACCACATTTTCCTTGCACGCTTTCTACACGGGGGAATTTTGAAATAGCTTTGCAGTTCTTTCAAAAGTGAAGCAGACTTTAAATTAGAGCAATTAAAAGAAAGACTTGCAAAATGTCACCCCTTCTCAAAAAGTGATTCAAGGTAAGAGTTTTGAAAGGACATGTAAGAGACAGAAGCAGACTTTGTAACTTTATTTTCCTTCTCATGTGCCCTTTTGAAGACACTGAAAGGAATTGAAGGCAGGCCAAGACCATTTTCTTCTGGGGTGCTATTTTGCAGGTCATTTTTATCCAGTGTTTGTCCACTGTTGATTTGCCAAGATGGGCAGCCATACAAACTGAAATAATAATAACTGTGATGGTAATGCTAATACCGATGTTAGTTAAAAATGTCACCGAATATAGTCTCTGGTGTTTGAGTAAGCCTCATAAACCACTTCATAGTCTCTAAAGAATTCAGTTTACTCTATATTTATCAAAATACATCTGCTGTATACCTCAGACATGACTCTAGGGTGAGGCCGCAAAGGTGCTTTTGGAAAAAAATACCCTTAGGACAACCATGGCTTGGATGATTGACCTTCATAGTGAGGAATAGGTAGGAGGTAGGTAGAGATGATAGCTAGTTAGCTAGTTAGCTAGATAGCTAGATAGCTAGATAGCCAGCCAGCCAGCCAGTCAGACAGCTAGATAGATAGATAATGGACGGATAGAGATATAGCTAGCTAGCTAGACAGACAGACAGACAGACACACAGATGATAGATAGCTTGATAGATGATAGCTAGATACCTAGTTAGCTAGATAGCTAGTTAGTTAGCTAGATAGCTAGATAGACAGACAGACAGACAAACAGATGATAGATAGCTAGCTAGATGATAGCTAGCTAGCTAGCTAGCTAGATGATAGATAGATAAATGATAGATAGATAGATGATAGATAGATAAATAGATAGATAGATAGATAGATAGATAGATAGATAGATAGATAGATAGATAGATAGATGGATGGATGGATGGATGGATGGATGGATGGATGGATGGATGGATGGATGGATGGATGGATGGATGGATGGATAGATAGATAGATAGATAGATAGATAGATAGATAGATATTTAATGACACTAGTTTTATTTCCAACCCCACACCCATCAGGCGCAGAGTCCATGGGATTTCATGTGACATTGCCCTGCCCAAAAGAGTGGGTACAGGGCCTATTTTAATTTTCCAAGGAGATTCTTTTGGTCAAAGTGTTTCCTCAATGTGATAATGCGAGTATGGATATCGAGAAAGATTATCCTGAAGTTTCATGTCCTGCCTTCTGCCATGATACCAAAGGACAATATTCCATTCCAACATTTTTTTTTCTGAAATCAGACAGTGAAGGTGAAATTGGAATTTTCAAGCCATTTTCATAATTTTTAGATTTCGGCAAACAAACTCTGTAATTGGTTACCTAGAAAAAAGAGTCTTAAAGGTCTCACTAGATGGTGATGAATCCTCATCGGCTGATCTGGG